CCCTTTGGGCAGAAAACGTTTAGATTTTCGGGCAGGAAAAGAGTCGTGTCTTCCACTCAGTGGATAACAAGCACAAACAATAAACACAATAATTGATGAAGTTACACACGTGTGTACCGTACAAACTTACTAACGACAATATGACATTTTTTTTCTATCTTTTTTAAGAAGTTAAATTTACAAAACATACATTTTACCATAAAACAATCATCATGTATTTACAAACTACATGTCGTGGTTTTTATTCCTTTTGGTTTGATAATGAAAATCGGGGGAAAAAGAATCATATAGAGGCTAGACATTTGGACCCTTAGAGGAGATTCTCATCCTTCCTCCAAGGTAGGGAACCTCGAGCTGTCATATCATTTCAGGTTCAAACGTACAGGTACGTACATTAAAATATCAACTGTTTAAACGTGTAGATCTATATCAATAACTTTCATTCCTTAGCATGATTACAGTGTGATAACCGACGAACACCCATGATTGCGATGGGAAATATGACCGGGGACAAATTGAATTATGAGTGGGTCCCGAACATTTTCGCGCCATTTTAGGCTACGGTAAAGTTACATAATTATCAGTTCTGTTTTGACGTCGTTTTGTCGCAAATGTTCGGTTTAAATTTTTCGTGAAGCAAATTGAACAATAGGGTGGGGACAAATGAACAACGTTCCGTAGAAAATGTCAACTTCATTTAAAGAACAATTTCAGACATGTAATAACAGGAAAACCACATATATGTGTCCATGTTCCATGCATGACCGTAAGTGTAGACGTCTCAAATTGCACTCGTTTATTGTTCGAATGGATCAATTTCAGACACTCGGGATAAACCAATCAGGATCACTCGGGACAAACCACTCGTACATTGTATGTCCACGCGTGCAATTTGTGAAGTGAGATAAACACATGTATGGTACTTCGTACTTATTACATACCACTAATGTACAATGATACATACAGAATTGTACATGTTTAGGAAAACCCAGGATTAGTGTGATATAATGTACGGGACTTTGCTGCACAACAGGTTGACATACATGTAGTTAGACCGGAATTAATTGACAGTTTGACACTGCTCAAATCGAACTTAAAATAAGAATAACTTGATACATGTAATTCCATTAAACTGACATCATTATTTCTTGCCATAACATGTATGCGATACACTTGTAGATTGTGCACGTGGAAGTGTTAATATAAACTTTATTTCATTCCACATTAAGTTGCATGACAAGCATACAAGTACAGAGGAATTGGATCCGGAAACAAGCTGAAATAACTTATATAAATCCGTTTCCGAGAATTTATCTCATTAAATTAAGGCATGATGGCATAGTTACTGAATTATATTGAAAGAAATATAAACACTTAAAACAGTAATTTACTTTTAAACATAGTTCCAGGGATATTTGAAATGTGAGTAAAAGAAGACGAGGGGGGGGGGGGGGGGGGGGNGGGGGGGGGGGGGGGGCGTATAGATTATAGATGCCCGTGCCATTAAGAATAGAAGGAGAGGAATAGAACTTAGTCAGATCTTTTAGAATGGATGATGAATACATACATATAAAGATTACATTAATTTTCCCTAGTTACAAAATAAATACATGTACAATATTTGCTGATTTTTGAAACAAAAGTATTTGTACATGTATGACCGTACGTAAAACTAAACCGATTTTTCTATTATAGCATTAAACAAAATGTCAAAATTTAGTTGTGATGTTTAGTGAAATTTAAAAGATTCCGTGATACAAAAGGAAAAGTTTGAAAATAATGTTAAAATTATCAATACATGTAAATTTCTGTAGACATCATAATGGGGTAGTTACAAAGTGTATAACATAATCAGGTGTATGGCATATCTATCTTCTTTTCTTTTAAATGGCATTGCTGGTTTTATTTCCATAATCGCTTCGTAGTCAAATAGAATATAAATTGCATGTTACAACATTGTTTTTTTAGAATGCTAGAAGGATGTTGAGAAACGATGGACGATTTTTAAGAATTATTGGAAAAAAAATATGAAAGAAAATTTCCAAAACAGCATGTGAAGCCTCCACGAAAACCGAATGATAGTGAAAACAAAAACGCTCGATAAAAAGACTTTTTCCGAAATCAAAAGAAAGGCTAGGTTACGAACCGATCTCCAAGTACCAAGATTGATAAAATGTGAGCCGAATATCGAGAAGTCAAGTAAGGACACTTCCAAGGAAGGCGATAAAACTCTTTGAGACGAAAACAGCACAACAATTAAAGGAAAATCCAAAAAAGGTCTAGCATTACTCAAAATCAAAATAAACCACGAAAGCAAATATTTCGAATCAAACAATGTACTCGCTGATTTTTTTCAGACAGTTTTCACAAAAGATCATGATCAGACAGTGTCAGAATTAGAAGGGAGGTGTCGGTCTAATTTCTACCCAGAAGATAACCCCGGAAGTCGTAGAGAAGAAGTAGAAAAACTAAAAAACAAAATCAAAATCACCAGAACCGGATATGATCTATGCCAAAGTTCTAAAAGAGACTTCCGATTGTATATGCCGTGCCTTATCATTATATATAAACATCTATTGATACTGAGAATTACACGGAGATTTAAATTGTGCAAGTCTGGAAGGAGGCTTCGAATCATAGCCAGTTAGTCTGACTAGCGTTGGGTGTAAAATACTAGAATCAACAATCAGGGATGAATCGATGAGTCATATGAGAAATAACAATTTCTTCAGCAACCTCAATTTGGTTTTATGGATGAGAGATCGACAGTACTTAAGCGTATCAAAGTCATTGATAAATGAACAACCGTCCACATATGGTGCGCAAAACTGTGCGATTTAATAATCGTTCGGCACGTTGTGCGCTTCTTTCCGCACAAATGTGCGATTTGGTACATTCGGTCAATCAATATTACGGAATGCAAAAATCCAGAAGGCTCGTATGTACAAATTTCTCATCATATAAAGAGCTATGGCGGGTTGCTATGCCTATTTCCCCAAAGTTGTGTCCGCGAGTTCGCGGGTGCCACCGCGTACTGTCATGACGCGTCCTCAGGTATTTTTATACAGGTAGTTTAGCTCTATCGGAATCCTGTGTCTAATAATAGATTATTGTAAACAGCCGAATTCAAGGCCATGGCTATTGATACATGCGTTTCACGATAAAGACTCAAAATGCTTATTTTTGCATTATTTTCATGAATTTAAAATAAATAATATGCTGTATTTAACACAAGATCGTACAATCATTACCAACAAGTTTTTGAAAGGATTTAATTTCCATTAATACTGCCTGCGTCGTGCTTTCTTACAAAATACGCATCTTGATTTTGTTTTTCCTGCACATATGAATGGCAAAAATGATATACATCATTTTCGAATAGAATTTCTTACATGTGTATTGCGACCCTTACTTTCCATTTGTGCTACAGTCTTCCTGCATTTCAAACAAATGAGACTGTCCTCAACGATGAATTTTCCCGTATTTTCGGAAATTATTTGCGATCATAACAGTTCATTTTTATTACCTTGGCCTTTTTTTATTCTGACGCAACAATCTCACATTCATTTGGTATTTTAGCATCATTTGTTGGGTTAAATCAGATAGATAAATTCACTCGTGTCAATTGGAGGGTAAAACAATTCATAAATATTTTTTTAAATGATGTCTTATCTACAAAGCGTAGCTGTACTGTACACGTGTACAATGAGTTGTTGACATGATTGCATAGAAGATAAGTCAATAGGTATATCATTAAAATAAAATAAAATGTTCCATCGGTTTGAAAAATATTGTATAAATTAATTAAGGAAAAAGATTACATGCCTAAATATTTAAATTAAAAAAAACCACCTAAACGTGGATTCGAACTTGCACCGTCCATTTCGTCTGGTCACAAGTTAACTTCGTTACACATTCGGCTACATCGGAGAGAGACGAAGATGGGAATACAAACTGTTTTAACCCAAGAAACACCTGTCGCAGTTTAAGAAACTCGCTCACCACTGTTTTTCATTATTTTGAGCATTTTCCCAAAGGAGGACCACTTCTCCGGAATACGATTTTTTTTTTTGCATATTACACCACGGAATAAAAAAGTTTATTCAAAAGTTGGTCCACGGATGGGAAAGTGTTGATACCGTTTTTTTAAGTCTGGGAAACCCCATCACTTTCATAGATATAGTGAATATGGCTATATTTGCAGTATCATATTAACAATACCTAATATCTCAGCAGTTCAAAAATTCATATACATCTATTCTATGAATTTTCGCTGCTAGAAATTATTTATTCATTAATAAAAAAAAATCCGTTTTCATAAATGCCGACTTAGGGAAATATGGGCAAAGTTCCGCCATAGCCCTTTAGATTTTATTCAGTTTTTCAATGCGTGTTACGCAGAATTACAGTGACCGTTAGACTGTCAAGAATGAGTTTGGCTCCCAGGTAACAGAACAGGTAAATAACATTTTAATGATTGACATAAGTTTTACCCGGTCTGTGCCTGAGAAAGAGAGCTGATATACAAACGACGTCATAACTTTAAAATATATAATGAGTATTTACGGTTAAATATAAGAAAACGTTTGTTCACGCATAGAACTGTTACCATGTGGAACAACCGCCCACCGGTTTTAGTGACAACTTAACAATGTCAGTATGAAAAAGATTATCAATGAAAAAATCAACCGCAAAGACATTGTTTTAAAGAAAAAATAGCAAAATTACAATTATGATTATGAATATTAATATTACGAGCTGATTGTCAAAGCATTGTGAATTCTGTACATATTTTTTTTGTATATTGTCAGATTACATCTATGCATCAGTAATTATATAATACCCATGTTAAACCACTATAATTTAATCGGCGCATTTGTCTACAAGAACCATAACACGTTGCATATTTTATGACGTCGATATTTGGTATTGTTCTTATCACGTGATGTTATTATCAATTGACGCTGCTAGCCACGTGACGTTGCTAATCACGTGACGTTTGATTGTTGTTTGTTGTTGTGAGCGGGAATAACACAAATAGACATAGACATATAATCTAGTACTAAAATTTGCCTGAATCATGTCTAAATCGAACAGTTGTTTAGATCACAATGACACTGACGTCACGCAGGAAGCCGGTATCACAGCAGACTGGGAAAATAAGACGAAGAAGCCTGGTGTCACTAGAATACATGTATTAAGAGATCAGGTGAGTTACATTATATATATTGCCCAATCGATACATAATAAAGTTTGACAATAGGATGTATTTTTATTTGAGGACGATTTCGTGTTGGTGTTATTGTCACCGCGATCCAAGGGGACAATTGATTAAAATTTTGAAATAAAAATGCTACCAAATACTGTAAAAATACATTTTATTTCAGACGGGACAATCATACGGAGATGTCCTAGATCTTCATCGTCACACAAGTCACGACGAGCAGGGTGACCAAAGCAAGGGTAAGTCACATAGGGAACTATACTGTAAGGGCATTCCCAAATGTTGTCTTTAATGTTTAATATTTACTGATCAATACTCCTTCATTTTTCTCATAACGGGTAGAAAAAAATCATAGAACGTTAAGTAAATTCTTTATAATTTACATATCATTTCTAAATTGCACAGGCTTTTCATGATATTGTACACTTGTATATACATTTGTACATGCACATTATTGACAATATTTAAAATGATATTTGTATATCAGTTCTATCTATATCTATGTTACGGATTACATTCTAATTGTTTTTTAAACATTTATCTTTGACAGATACTACATGTAATACTCCTTTTACGACTGACCTAAAACCAAAAGATGCCTGGGTAGAACCCGACATGGCGCTAGACCAGTTTGTGTCCTCCGACACAATATATAACGAAGATGTCCTGATCAGTGTTGTTGATAAAATTACACAGGAGAAAAATGTCGAGACAGCTACGGAGAAGAGTTTGGTAACGTTCATTGGAGTTTCGTCCAAGGAACCAACAAGCAGCCCCTCCGCTGGTTATTCGAGACCACAGTGCAGACCCTCCATCATATTGGTTAACGGCGAGTGGGTGAACTTGAACAAACAGCCATGCATATTGGTCAGATTTAAGCACAGGATGGCACGTGTGTTCCGCCGAATGAACCGCTGCTACGAGGAAATGATGCTTGATCTAGTCATGTTGCGCGCGCGTATACAGGCTAATAAGAAGCGAGACGAGGGACTACGCCAACAGAATGTGTAAACTCGATGCACCACGTGATAGAATCTATGACGGAAGAGAGGAATATTGGGATGTTTTGAAAGTTGATTTAACGAATTTATTTATTTACGTATTTTTTATTTTGTTATCATTAAAATCGTTATGAAATGATGGATAATCGATTGTTCTTTGTTGTTTTGTACCTGTTAGACCTACTCCTGAGACAATTTGTACAAGATTTACGTACGCGTAAGACATTTCGTACGTGCTATGTGCACGTCTGAGACATATAAATAAAGGAACAGATATGTATACTGCAAAGTTATATTTTACGTTATATGCGTAATGCATTTCATATATGTTCTGCGAGCACAACAGGAACTTTGATGACAACCAGAGCAAAGGGCAGTTCAAATCGAACCATCACAAACAATTACATGCAAATATTTCCCCCGCAACATTTGAGATAATAAATCTATAAGTATTTACAGTCTCTTCATATTGATAAGTAAGACGGTATATTTTGTACATCTGTCTACAATTGACAAGTTAGACGGTACACCTGTATTCATATTGTATGGTTAGACGGTACATATTGTACATCTGTCTACATATTGTATGGTTAGGCGATATATATTGTACATCTGTCTTCAAAGTGACAAGTAAGACGGCACATCTGTCTTATTATTGTTAGGTAAGACGGTGTTGTACATCTGTTTACATATTGACAAGTAAGACGGTACACCTCTCTACATACTGTATTGACAGATAAGACGGTACAGATTGAACGTCTGTCTACATATCGACAAGTAAGTCGGTACAATTGCCTACATATTTTCTATCATGAAAGGTTTACTCTACAGACATCCAATTTGAATACTTAAACAAGTGTTTTTGATCTAAGATTCTACAAGTACAAATGTAATTTTATAGATAATTTGTCTTTAGAGAATTACAACAAGAACCTCTGAGTTATAGTCGATCTCCATCATAATGTAGAGTTAGATTACCGGGATGTGATTCAATGTGATACATACAGAATAGACTGTGTTTCTACAACGAGAGATTATATTCTTCAGCTATCACCGCGCCCTGTAATCAAAATGTCAAATCTCCGTATCGTGTACATGTATGTGTTAGAGGCGCCATAGATGGCATGCCCCATGTTTATATAAAATACATGTCGGATTGTCGGACCCATGTTTATACTTAGTCCGACCACGTTTTGCATTTATTTAGACATTCTGTCAAACATTGTTATGCAATGAAGGTTTTCTATCTCAAATTGTGATTGTTTCGATTTTTGGCATATGGAAAACAGGAAATCCGAAGCTCTATCTCCTCTCTTCCTCCGCAACCTTGTTTCTAAAACGGCTGAGAATGATCTTTTCTCGTCTGACCGTTAATACCGCGCGACTAAACAAACTTCTGTGTACATACAATACAAAGCGATACGTTAACAGCAGAGACACATGTGATGAGCCTGTGTAGATTGTTTTAATAATTAATTTATTGTAATATATACCCAACTTTTTAAAGTCTGCCAACATAACTATAGGTCGTGTACTTCTGAATACAAAATAGACACATACATTAAAAATGACTGCATAGCTGTAGACGGGGAGCTGAATATGTTGAGGAAATGACAGGTTTGGTCAAAAAGGAAGTGAACGTGATCAAGAGGCATAGAAGAGGATAGCCCAGACTTAAATAATTAATAACAAAGGCTGAAGTTATTTGTAAAAAAATGTAGCTAGATTCAGGTGCACATAATTGTCTACATTTTTGTAGTTGAGGACTATTTACATCGCCTTAGTGGAGACTACGGTTAAACATAAGTTCGACGGTCTTAGGTACAGTACATGTATATGATTTTACCGAATAGCGAATGCACGTGTTTTATTACGTCAGGACAGGAAATGCACGTGTTTTATAGCGTCTCGACGGGCAATACAAACCATCACACACCCTATAATGTACCATTTGGAGATATAATGCATTACTGTAGCAAATTTGTATAAAGGTATCAAGCTGTACAAATTTCGCGTGCTGCACGCTCTCAACATGAATAGATTCATTTAAGCATTGAACTGTTTTTGTATGGTATTTATGGTCTATTTGAATGACACAGCTTTGCAAGCAAACAACATAAAGCGCGCTAGCGCATTATGAGTTGTTTGCTTGCAAAGTTGTGTCATTCAAATATATCATAAATACCATACAAAAATAGTTCAATACTTATATTTACGTTTTCTCTGCCTCTTATGTTCTTTTTTAACTTATGATTTATATTCAAAATTTAAAATGCCCGCCTTATCGACAGTCCACACAAATTCGTTCAATAGTAACAAACACTTCAATGTTATTCCACAATTCATTATCAATACAATTGCGTATGATATGTCTATAGGGTGATTTAAGTTTATCAATAGAACTCTGAGCTGAAAGTTAGATTTGAAATTGTTTCGATTTTTCCCCGGAACAAATTTAGAGCATGGATAAATACAGTGAACACCGTAAATCGGACCTTGCCCTCCATGAGGGGGTTATTTTTGGAAGTTAATTCGAACTTTTCTCTTTGCTCATTTTGTGAGGAATCCAGATGTGAATTTATTTGTTGATTATATGGGAATCTGACTACAGTCTGTAGATTGTATGACAGGCTCGTTATTTGACATGTCGTCAGAAACTGAGGAAACAGTGGCTGCGAGACGCGTGAAACTGATAGCGTTTGAAGTGAGTGATCTTGCGACGGAGCACAGGGGCTCGTTACAAATGTGTGAAATGTTCATGTGTGCTGTGACTCATATCAGTAGGTCTGTAACATATATGTCAGTAGGTCTATAAAATATGTGTATTTCAGACATTTGTAACGAACCCCTGTTGATCAGTAAAGTGTAACAGACGATATTTTTGATATAAAATTGCATTAGCGTTATAATTGTTTCCATTGCCGGCATTAGTGATTTCAACCGATGTGCATTTTGTACGATATTGCAGACCTTGGTCTTCTTTTTGTTGTAATAAAAGTATTTTTTATTTTATTTTTTATTTTGCACATAAATTTATAATGACATTGTCAAATCTCACAATGCCTAGCGATATTTCAGCAGCCGTCATGTTTATTTACATTGGAAATTGTAGTTCTGGTCAGTGTTGTATTAATACGTTAAGAATTATATCTCGTGCTGCATGGTCATTAAAGTCCCATCAACGACACAGCTTTCAAAGAGACTAGATAGTGACAATGCCATGCAAATGTAAATATAGAAATGATGACCGAAAAGACTCGATTAATTTGAATTGTGAAAGTTAGTATAATATACTGTAGTTGTTACATTTGTACGTATATGATCAATCGATTGAAGATGGGAACTGCACCTATAACTATGTGTCAAAGTATAAACATAGGCCGGACAATTTACATGCATTTTATATAAACGTGGGTTGAACTACAAATGCGTGTATTGTGCGTCAAAACGCCTTCACGTTTGATACACATAATGTATCATTCGCACCGTGATAACCGAAAAGTACCATAACTTGTCATACAAAATGTACTTGTAACAATACAGTCTATTCTACCACATTGTGTTCTGTCAACACTCCATAATGACGAAGGTTGGCCAGAGTCCAGACGTTCTAAGTCTACATATCTACAGGTTTATTGTTACATGTGTTCATTTTTCTGGTAAAATTAAAACGCAAAATACTTATGTAAGGAATCAAAGTGGTGGTCCGAAAATTATACTGGTTGTAACAAGGTGTACTATCTGTCTTGTCGGCTATGGAAACTAATGTACGGCCTGACATGTTTGTACCTAGCCTGTCAGCCAATACAGAGGTTTTGTCTTACCTATTAATGTATACCGCACAAGAGAGTCTTTCAAGACAGATGTACTCAAATGTATTTTTATGATTAAATAGAAAACAATTCACAATTTATCTCATAACGTATATATATATATATATGCTTCTCTTTATAAGACAGCTGTGTGATGAAGATGAGAGTACAATGTACACGTCGGATTAATATCAAAACGTCTCACATTAACTTATCATTTAGTGTATCATATCAACCTACATCTACTATCAAATAAACCTTATACATTCTTTATCAAATACTATTTGTTTTAATAAAAGATCGTTTTTTAATTCAACAAGATCCTTTATTAGATAAAACTGTTTGATACATTAAGATTCTTAATCAGGTATAATACTTTTTAATACAACATTGTCAGTTAATCTTCAATACTGTATCACACAACACAATCAACTGTCTCTAATTCATGAAAATCTCATTGATTTGAACGACTGTAAGTGTGAAAGATATTTGCACCTGGCGCTAGTCACGACATGCTGTAAAATACATGTAGTATGTATTTCTGTTTATCGTAATACTTACGAGCTACTTTAGGTAGCTCTGTACAGTAGCGTACGGTGGCCATGGTTGATATTTTTGTACAATGAATAACCCCTGTAATATTACATGTATCAAAAGTTAAGATAAAAATCAGCTCTAAAATTGGCATATACATGATGAATTGGACTATATGGGCTTCACATTAAAAAAATCGAAGTTGCCTTGAGACTACAGTTTTGGCCATTTACGAATCTGTGTCTACTCAACAAAAGCTAGCTTTTCGTGTAGTTTATTTTTGTACTCAGCACATGTGCAAATATTGTGAAAAATGTAGTTTGACGACCTATGCTTAAACGTGAGTTTCCGTGACCGAGTAGGTGATATTTAATTTAAGGCAGGTTTTAAGAAAAAAAATACTACTTGCGTGGGTCAAATTTTGGGTTAAAAATCATGTTTTTTTGGCATTTTTTGGCGGTTTTTGATTTGGTAACCATGGTTTTCACAAGTCCCAAATCTGGGGAAATAACTTTTTGAAAAAATATTCATTCTTCTAAAAAAAACGCATTCAAAATGTAGTTTACGAATATATATATATATATGTAGGTGTGTTGTGCAGGATGAATCCGCTATCCATGTAAATCCGAGAAATGCCCTTTATTTTAAGGGGCAACCCATTTTTACTGTACTCTGCTACCTGAAGTTTATATTATTTGCAAGGAAAAGGAGACAAAAAGATATGTATTGCACACTACGTTGTACACAATGTTTAAAGGCTATTTTGATATACATGTACAAAGGGGGTTAACTCCAATAGTGCGTCATCACACCAAGTTCCAACTAATGTATTTTAATCGATAACGAGCACTAATTCCCTCACCATCCAATCTTATATGCCATTGTTTAGTTGGATACTAATATCTCTGCCTATGAAATAACGTACCTTTGTTAAATAGGCTAATTTCCATTGTCTCATTGTACATCTATCTTAACATTTGAAAAGTTTGTTATCTTTTTTAAACGTAGGAAACAATACTTATCACTGATATCTCTTTACTCCTTCCGCTGAAATCGTCCTGGTGTAAGTTTTCGTGTTAACAAAGATAATCTGTATCACATTATAAGGTACGCCTGCCATTAACCGCACACAATGTAGAATGCAATTCATGCTGTCATTGAATCAAGTGTAAATAATGTCTAGAGTGTCAGATTGTAACAGCTTTACATCTTATCCTTTAAGTTTTCCTCGTTTACTAAATAATAAACAATCTTCTACAGAATATAGATTTGTTACAAGATAAAGTACAAAGTTTATCAAACGTATGGTGTCAAACCGATGGTATGCTCTCAGACAGGACATTTTAAACACCCGTTGAACAAGGAAGATGAAACTATAGTTATTTCCTGTCTTTTTAACGATAAACATTCTTAAGAAAACAAATTATATAGCTTTTATAAGCATTCAAGGTTACAGAAAAATGTCAAAAGCTGACATAACTCGTCCTATTATCGAGCGTATTTGGAACGTACATTGTACATGTACAATACACACGTACAGAAAACTTATTTGTAACGTTAAATTAGTTATACTTTAGCCGGTTTGTTTGTTGCTTCTCGTGTATTATACAATCATCAGGGGATATTGATTAATGGCTTCCCTGGAAACCGGGAATTCGTCCGCTTGTCGATAAGTATAGGTTAAAAGTTAAGAAATGCTTTACGTTAATCCATAACAAGTGTGTGGAACGTTTTTTGTCAGTTTCATAGAAAATTATTTTGGTCTGTAAATGAAAATGACTATAATCTCTAATATGTTTTAGTCTATAATAACATTTGATTGATAGATACAGGTAATCATGCTTTCTAAGCCTGCATGTATATATCCACATGTACTACATGTATATATCCACATGTACTACATGTATATATCCACATGTACTACATGTATATATCCACATGTACTACATGTATATATCCACATGCACTACTTGTATATATACACATGTACTACATGTATATATCCACATGTACTACATGTATATATCCACATGCACTACTTGTATATATACACATGTACTACATGTATATATCCACATGCACTACATGCATATATACACATGCACTACATGCATATATACACATGTACTACATGCAGTTTTTGAAAGTTGAATTAATAACAAGAAAAGTTGTAACATGAACATTTATTGTCTTCGTCAACATAGAGACTGCATAGAGAATACTGCTATCTAAATAAAAAGTCTATCTATCCCAATTAAGTACTGACAACATATAAAAGAAAATGCAAATGACAATTTATAGAAATTGCAAAATGTCATAAATGCTAGAAAATCACCAGAAAAAGGGGGTATATAAAGCAAGAACAGCCAATATTTGAAATACAGACCTAGACATTTTCTAATAACTATGACTGTACAGTTTACTAATGCTAAAAGTGATCCCATTCCAATGTATCTATTCTTAAAAGCCCATGTCTAATCCAATTTTCTTTGCCACACGTTACCATCAGTGGGATAATCCACAGCTCAACGACCAGACGTTACCATCAGTGGGATAGTCCACAGCTCAACGACCAGACGATACCATCAGTGGGATAATCCACAGCTCAACGACCAGACGTTACCATCACTGGGATAATCCACAGCTCAACGCCCAGACGTTACCATCAGTGAGATAATCCACAGCTCAACGACCAGACGTTACCATCAGTGAGATAATCCACAGCTCAACGACCAGACGTTACCATCAGTGGGATAATCCACAGCTCAATGACCAGACGTTACCATCAGTGGGATATTCCACAGCTCAACGACGAGACGTTACCATCAGTTGGATAGTCCACAGCTCAACGACCAAACGTTACCATCAGTGGGATAATCCACAGCTCAACGACCAGACGTTACCATCACTGGGATAATCCACAGCTCAACGACCAGACGTTATCGCCAGAGGGGCAATCCACAGCTCAACAGCTAGACGTTACCATCAGTGGGATAATCCACAGCTCAACGACCAGACAATACAATCAGTGGGATAATTCACATCTCAACGACCAGACGTTACTATCAGTGGGATAATTCACAGCTCAATGACCAGACGTTGCTATCAGTGGGACAATCCACAGATCAACGACCAGACGTTACCATCAGTTGGATAATTCACAGCTCAATGACCAGCCGTTACCATCAGTGGGATAATCCCCAGCTCAACGACCAGACGTTACCATCAGTGGGACAATCCACATCTCAACGACCAGACGTTACCATCAGCCGGACAACCCACATCTCAACGACCAGACGTTACCATCAGTGGGATAATTCACAGCTCAATGACCAGACGTTACTATCAGTGGGACAATCCACAGATCAACGACCAGACGTTACCATCAGTTGGATAATTCACAGCTCAATGACCAGACGTTACCATCAGTGGGATAATCCCCAGCTCAACGACCAGACGTTACCATCAGTGGGATAGTCCCCAGCTTAACGACCAGACGTTACCATCAGTGGGACAATCCACAGCTCAACGACCAGACGTTACCATCAGCCGGACAACCCACATCTCAACGACCAGACGTTACCATCAGTGGGACAATCCACAGCTTAACGACCAGACGTTACCATCAGTGGAATAGTCCCCAGCTTAACGACCAGACGTTACCATCAGTGGGACAATCCACAGCACAACGACCAGACGTTACCATCAGCCGGACAACCCACATCTCAACGACCAGACGTTACCATCAGTGGAATAGTACCCAGCTCAACGACCAGACGTTACCATCAGTGGAATAGTCCCCAGCTTAACGACCAGACGTTACCATCAGTGGGACAATCCACAGCTCAACGACCAGACGTTACCATCAGCCGGACAACCCACATCTCAACGACCAGACGTTACCATCAGTGGGACAATCCACAGCTTCACGACCAGACGTTACCATCAGTGCGACAATGCACAACTCAACGACCAAATGTAACCATCAGTGCGACAATGCACAACTCAACGGCTAGACGTTACCATTAGTGGGTTAATCTACATCTCAACGACCAGACGTTACTATCAGTGGGATAATTCACAGCTAAATGACCAGACGTTACCATCAGTGGGGCAATCCACAACTCAACGACCAGATGTAACCATCAGTGGGACAATCCACAACTTAACGACCAGATGTTACCATCAGTAGGAAAATCCACAGTTCAAAGGTGAAATACTTCGTCGGTCTCCGCTATGAAAACGTGCCCACACTCCTTTTTCGTCATGCACTATAATACCCGACCAATCCAATTTATTACAACCATATGTATTGACAATAAATGGAGAAAAAAACCTTACGTACTTCATGTTTTCATATCTATGCAACCTTTGTATCATACATACTTTATCGTTTTACCCATCAAAGAAACAATTAGATATACACTTCCAACGAATTGATGTAATTCATATAAAAATGGTTAAATCAATACACACTCGCAACATGCATGCTCTCTCTTTTTTTTAGATTGGGCTTCCTCGTTTTATCCAGGGTTTTTTTCAACTCGGAATGACAATTAAACTATAGCATACGTAACTTTAATTGTTATTATTGATCAAATGAACGCTAATATGACAAACGTTTCAAGCAAGGGTCATTCTACATGTACTACCAGAAAATATAGCAAATACCACAGTTTTACATTATATGCTTAACATATTGCAATATTTCGTTTGTGTTTCAATTAGAAAAACTTACAGTGTTCGTGGTATCTTCAAGATACAGTTCAATTTAGAATGTATGACAACAATTATTTAAAATATCCAGCATACTATAATTCTATCATCGATTATAGTCTGTCCTTGCCAACGTACTGTTCAACTGTAGTTCACAAAAATAAGTTTGATTCCTAATCATCTGGTACAAACTAGTTCGTCAAACGTTAATTACATTTTATGATTTTAGAACAGTAAAAGATTGTGATAGAACGACATATTTTAAACATTAAAGAATTAACAGGATTTCAGTTATATGTGTTCATTGTCACCGTCGTCGTCGTCGTCGTCGTCGGCCTGAGAACAGTAATCCGAAATTAGCTGTTTTACTTCTATTTTCCAATGTTTGTTGAATCTAGGGCTGCTACGGGAACACATACCCTCTAACAGTTTTGGCAACAGACACACAAACAAGGTGGTGGCTGATTGGGTAAGTATCGACAGTTGTTTAAACATCTGAAAATTGTGTATCAGATATACTGACAGGAACAACACAAACGCCAGCACCATGATCTTAATGAACGCCTTCACCATCTGTACCCTCGGGGGTTTATACCGATTTACTATCAGGAAGAACAGCTTCAACGGGATGTAGGTCACTCTGTCCACTACCCGGAATATTCTCCTCGGACTGTCCTCGTGTTCTGTCTGATAGATCTGACACAAATCACTGACCTGCTGAAACAGTCTGCTGTAGACGTCGCGGACATTGTCGATGATCTCATGCATGTACATGAGGATGGTCACGCCGAAGATTATGTAGCCGTATGAGTAGTTCGGGAAGGCAAAAAGTCCGGTGTAAGTGAAAACGGCTACACGCGACAGGAATATAAAACTCCCAACGAAAATGATACTAAACATGTAAATCATGAAGAGCATCATCCCCAGCATTAGTGGCATGATAACCACCAGAAGTGGAAATCGAAAACAGAAAGTCAGAGTTTTCAGCTTACGCCATACTGCGAAAATATTTGACCTCAGAAACACTAAACTGAAAAATGTTACTGGTAATCCAAAGTATATCACGCATGCGCAGATCTCACAAACACAAAGAGCGAAGTACAGAGGGAATATGAGAGCAGCTATGGCATTGGAAAGACGTAAGTTGCAAAACCGCTGGGATTGAATCTGATAAGTGTACCTCCAGAAGTCAGAATTAAGTAGCATAAAAAAATTAGACGTCATTGTTATGTACATAAGTCTGTAACCAGTCACACTATCGTGGGTGTTCACTGAACCGAGACGTTGTTGGACATATCTGGGCATCGTTAGAGGAGACGTGCCATCAGACTGACTTTGAGGAATACCAGTCTCCAAAAGGTCTGCGAGATCTCTAGGTATACACATAAACAATATCATTCCTAGCAAGTACAAACAAGAGGCTTCATACGGACCGCCGAAGTTACTAAGGAAGTTACGCTTGCTTTCTTCATATCCAGCCAAAACTGACAGGAAGTCCATGGGTGTACCCTGTGCTACGCTGGCCACGACAAAATCATACTGGTAGAGATAGTGAACGACCACTTTGAGAACAATGAAAATTAAACTAAACAAAGCTGCCAGAAATCGAACAGTTCTTGACAAACTGACCGGAAAACGGCGACCAAGGATGACCAGGGGGTAAGTTAGGACTGCCCACACTGATATCGGATTTGTAAACAGCCAATCACAATCTGGATAGTCATTGGTCCCTATAAGAGGTGTATATTCGTCTCTGCGTCGTTTGACACCTTTTACCAATTTATCACGAATGTCTGCACTGCACATGAATAGAATAATAGGAAAATAAGCGAACAGAATAGTTCCTAGGACAAATGGAACAATCCACCAGACCTCGTCATAGGTTAATGGTTCCGGTGGACATACCAATACTGACCGGTTCTTGTTATAACTCCACTCCATGTGGCAGCAAATGTACCCGGTAGCTTCCAATGGACAAATCATGTGTAAACACATTTTGTACAATGCCTCGTTTTCTATGTAAGTCCGAGTTTTGAAACAAAAATAACTAGATTCGTACTTCATGCGCCCATGTTGACTTAACGCTTTTGATAGTTTTGAAAGCGCCAGTCCTACCCTACCTGTGGTGATTTTCTTCCCCACAAATACTGAACAGTTGTTGAGAGAATTAACTTGTATATCTATTGGATATGGCGTTATATGAGAATTGGCTGCCAGTAACCCCATGGACCAGACGCTATACTCAGGAGGCCATTTAAGGTACTGCAGGGCTCCTCCGGGGCCTTTGTATGTCCAAACCCATTGCTGAGGCTCAATCACACACTTAGTGTACGTAGCATTTCCATTACCAAAGAATTGTAAATATAAATGAACAAAATTGTAATTGTTTTTGACGACTTCATACACGAATTTACACAGTGTTTCGTTGTCAATATCCATATTGCAGTCTTGAGTCGTGTTAGAAAACTCGGGTTCATAGTTCCCAATCCAATCTAAACATTGTTTCGGTTGGTCGGTAGCGTTAAATCTTGTAAATGAAGGGTGAAAAATCATCTTATGTGTCAGCAGCCCTGGTTGTTCTCGTCGATACTGTCGGTCCTGTTCCTTGGCATTTGAAAATCCACACAGCACAACACCTACGACACATATTACCATAAAGCCATTGACTGATGAAGACATCCTTGTGATTAAATATGATGAACTGAGCATTTCAACATAAAGTTCTCTCAACGCTCGAGTTGTGATAGATTGTGGAACTGTTCATGAAATGTTGAATACTTCCCGTGTGTTTGCGGAGAATAATCAACGTCCTTATTCTTTAAACAAACGACATGCCCATGTGACCAGCTTGTGGATGATTACCATACAGGAAGACATTATATAATTTTCCTATTTGTAATTCTTCCTTGCTTAGCAAGATTAGCAAATTCTAACCTAAGTTAGAAAAAATGCTAAATACACTCAAATTATATGTTTTGTAGGAGAAAGAGAAAATTCGCGGTGTTTCATAAGGATATCGGAATTAATCATTGGTTAGTTTAAATGTTTTTTCTGTTGAAAGTAGACTAATGTTAACGAAATATGTCACTGGTTGTTAAGTAACTATGCTATTTTACTTATGAGTACGCGTTTTCTTTGATTTGAGTATTTCAGGTGGGACTAGATGGAATCGCGGATAACATATTGACAACCATTGGTATTGAATTAACACACTGGTACAAACAAAAGGTCAGGGAAACCGATTTCGATCCTCAGACAAAGCAACAAAGCGACTTGATTTAAAATACATTATCAATGGTAAGAACTAGAGATATCATTGACCCCCAGACTCCAACAAAAACTGCTGGATCCGTTCAAAACGTGTGCATCAATATACCATTCTCATGATTAAGCATGATAAATACGGTAGTTATTACATGTGATGAAAAACAGTTATATCATTAACTTTCTTCCCTCTTCAAAAATCCACTGGAGTCGTGGAAAAAGTACGCTTCAGAATACATATTCAGATACATCAGTAAAATGTACAGTGTATATCTATGTTTACACGTACCTGTATGCGTTAGTAAGAACATAGTATATCAAGACACTAGGACAGAATTGAACTATATGACGAAACGTAACAACAGGAAATAATAAACAAAAACACAAAAGGACAGTCATCTTCTGTAAGTCAGCTAAATATTCAATTGTTCCTTGTAACAATAGCGTGTGATATGTTACTTAAATCACGTTACAAGGACGTACTGTTTCGGGATAAACCAAGTAGATAATTACAGCAGAGCTGACGACACAGAGAACGAATCGGTGTAACATTTAATACACTACCATTAGCACGGAGGTTTTGGTTTCGATTTTATCTATAATGTTTTGGGTTAGGTTTCACTTATAATGGTTGGAGTTAGATTTCACTTATAATGGTTGGGATTAGATTTCACTTATAATGGTTGGGATTATATTTTCCCTCTAATGGTTAGGGTTAGATTTTACCTATAATTGTTTGGGTTTGATTTTACTAATAATGGTTGGGGTTAGATTTTACTTATAATGGTTGGTGTTAGATTTTACTTATCATTAACATTGACAAAGCTCTCACCAACAACCAAGGACGAGTTTCGCAACATTATCATGACCTTGCAATCGAAGTTTTGAGCTTGATCCACTGCCTATAGACCTATTAAAGCAATGTCCTGAAGCACTGCTTCCTTTGATTACCGCAAGCATGAACAAATTATTGGTTGAGTCAAGGGTTCCATTATGTTTCAAGACGGCACATGTCAGACCATTGTTAAAACAGCTCTCCAGCTCAAGGTTGGTGCCAGAACTATTGAGACTGTTCCAGTTGTTAAAAACCTAGGGGTATACTTTGACAGTTCTCTGAACATGGAGAAACAAGTGAACGCTATTGCCAAATCATGTTACTACCAGATCAGGAACATCGGCTGTATTCGGCAGTTTCTAACTGATTTTGGTGCATTCACTTGTTACCTCTCGGTTGGATTATGGTAACGCCCTGCTCTGTGGTATATATCTGGCAAACTAACTAGTCGTCTGCAGAGAGTCCAGAACACTGCAGCACGGTTAGGTACTCGTACTCGAAAGAGAGAGCACATCACACATGCGCTTTATTCGTTGCATTGCTTTACTTGTACGATAAGGTCGCAGAACAAAATTTTGCTATACACATACAAGGCACTGAATGGAACAGCTCCTCTGTACCTACAGGATCTTGTTACCCTGTATCAGCCGTCAAGACCACTGCGGTCGGATTCAGAATCTTTGTTGTGTGTCCCAAAATCTTGTACTGTGACCTACGGAAACAGATGTTTTTGGAGGGTTTCGGCTACGTTGTGGAATAGCTTACCATCTGCTATTAGGAAGTCGAATACCTTGGCCAAGTTCAAGAGGGACATCAAAACTCACCTCTTCACGTCTACATTTTAGAATCTTCGCAAAGACGTCATGTAAATACCACCCTTTTATTTGTTCAATTATGTGCACATTGCTTGTTAAATGTATGAAAGTGATTGCAAGTCTTTGTTGTTTGTTTTCACAATTATAACCATTACTATTATCGATATGTTGTAAAGCGCCTTAGAGTAATTTTACAAATAATATAGGGCGCTATATAAATGTTGTATGTTATTATTATTATTATAATGTTTGGGTTTAGAATTTACTTATAATGGTTGGGTTAGGTTTACTTATAATGATTAGTGTTAGATTTTACTTATAATGGTTGGGGTTAGATTTCACTTATAATGGTTGGGATTAGATTTTACCTATAATGGTTAGGGTTAGATTTTACCGATAATGTTTGGGGCTAGAATTTACTTATTATGGTTGGGGTTAGATTTTACTTATAATTGTTGGGGTTAGATTTTACTTATAATAGTTGGGGTTAGATTTTACTTATAATGGTTGGGGTTAGATTTTACTTATTATGTTTGGGGTTAAGTTTTACTTATAATGGTTGGGGTTAGATTTTATCTTTAATGGTTGGGGTTAGATTTCACGTATAATGGTTGGAGTAAGATTTTATTTATAATGGTTAGGGCTGGATTTTTCTTATTATGGTTGGGGTAAGTTACATTATGTATCACATGTACTTTATATGAAATGATTAGGTTATTACTTAAAATGGTTAGAGTGAATTATTACTTAAACATGCAAGGGCTGGGTTAAGATATAATATGCACTTATATATGAATTGGTTAGAGTTGTTATTGATATTTTGACAATGGTTGGAGTTAGTTATACATTGTATGTATACAATTATTCTCGATATCAATTTTTTATACATACAGTACGTATTAAGGGTAGATCAGCTTATGTTATCATTGAACACGGAACAATTTTTAAATGTTTCCCTCTTGCTATTCCGCCAGTACATTGAATTTAATGATATAAAATACCCGCTGTTCTGTTGGCATAACGCCGAGGAAATATTTCAGCATTTGAATGGGTATAAGTCGTTGCTAATGATATATGTGTGCACTTTCCCGTGACATGTATTTGGAATTTCAGAAACGATCAAGTTTAAACAATATATTTGTTTCACAAGTCATTGTAGTGTATCCATTAGTATGTATTGGACATTTTATGAAATAAATAATACATGTAATTTCAATGTACATGCTAGTATACTAGTATATATTGTAACTCAAGAATACTTTCCTACGTGTGACAGTCGCTATGTTTATAAGATAAGTATTACTTAAAATTGATATCAGGAGGTAGATATTCCACTAGTGTAGACAACATAATATTGTCATTTTTCTAAGCGACCGCTTCTATATCGAGACACAGAATTGGAACGGAAACACTTACATGAATGTACATTACATATTCAGGAATGTTTTATACTCCGAAATGACACCCTGAATTCTTGTAGAACCTTTGACGAATATTTAGACAGATTAGAGTCAGTATTTGCCCGACTCGTCCAACATGGCTTGAAACTCAAACCGTCCAAATGCAAGTTCCTCAAATCTTCAGTAACATATCTCGGTCATGTTGTATCAGAAAAAGTTAAAGCTACAGATCCAGAGAAAAAAAACTCTGCGGTCAAAACATGGACAGACCCCAAACATTTTAAGTTGATGCGTCTGTTCTTTTCATTTCATTTCAACAGATTTCATTGACTTTATATATGTCAATTGGATTGGACATCAGGCTAGGCCTATTTAAGTCCTTTCCAAACTGATTTACTAACATTACATATATTCTGTCATAACAATCCAATTAAACAGTGCAGGGGAGATAACTCAAATTTATCTTGTGAAATGAACATTTTCAACTTTGCTTTAATCATTTTCTGTTTATGTTTTAGATATTAATAACTAAATAAATTATGTGTATTTATTGACAACCCATCCTACATAAAATCCAAGGGATACAGTCCCGAAAGTCCTTGTGTATAAACACAGTGACCATCCACCCACTGGATATATAGGATAAGTTACCAAGAAATAAAAAATTCAGAATATGATATGGATTCATATAGGAAAATGTAGTTGTTATTATATCTCTTAAAACTTATTTAACAAGGCACTATAGAATATTTATGTAACTATGAAATACCATCCAGTCCAGCCGAATACCAGAGATGTTGTGAAGATAGATATACACCAGTATCAATACTTATTAGCAGAGTGATCATGACACTATAAACAATAGCATCACTTTCAATGTAAAGTTTTGCAGTGAGTGAGATTACATATCAAGCCTATTAGTTTGACAAATGTAGTCAGATATACTTTTTAAAATGGATATGTCTGTTCTTGGGTTTTAGTTGACGTTATTGCCGGTTTGTAAAAGACTACGCCAAGATAGTTCAAACGCTTAACAAGCATCTACAGGGCCCTGACCTGTCCAAATGGCTACTTAGTCTAACAAGTCTAGTAAGTCTAAAAAAGCAAAGTCTAAACATAAGCAAAAAGCTGAATTGATCTGGGTTAAAGCCCAGCAAAACGCGTTTGACACTGTAAAGGAAAGACTGATCAGTCCTCCCGTGCTTGCGTATGCGGACTATTTTAAACCCTTCATACTACATGTTGATGCTAGTGGTACTGGTTTGGGTGGATAACTCTACCAGAATCATGAGAGTAAGGAACACGTTATCACATTTGCGAGTTTGGGGCTCAGACCAAGTGAGCGCAACTACCGTGCTCATAAGCTTAATTTATAGCGCTGAAATGGGCAGTTACTGACAAGTTTCACGATTACCTCTATAGTAATACGTTTGAGGTTGTCACATTCAATAACCCTCTCACATGT